CATTCAGAAATTTGGGACTTAAATACGGATTTGATGCACGAGAAAATAGTGCATATTGGACGTGAAGAAGGGAGCAAGTTGCATGTGGGGAAAAAAACGCGCCTGATTTAAATGTCACACCTGAACGCTCACATCCTTTTAATTATGTTTGAAATTATGAACATTGCTCAACATCATGAAAATTAAACCTTATTTTCAATAAGCAATCCTGAAAAACTATTTGGGGGTGCTTAACTTTTTTCCAGGTGTATAAAATGGCTAGACACTTAATGCACAAAGGAAAAGTTCTGTTACAAAATTTTTATTTACTTTGGATATCTGTTCTTATGAGCCATCTGGACTGTGGTATTTTGAGTGGTTGTAGCTATGTATTTGCAGTTCAACCATGACACTGTGTCTTATACTGCATATATGAATAAGTTTATTTTGTTTGATAGAATTTTGACCATGTTTTAAACTGGTAATTATTGGAAAAATAGAGTGTTTATATTACAGTCAATTTTATGAAATATTTTTTGTTTTACAGGCGAGTTTATATAGCCTACCTTGACAGTGTTCATTTCTTCAAACCCAAACAGTATCGGACAGCAGTGTACCACGAGATACTCCTTGGGTACTTAGAGTATGTGAAACAGTTGGGGTAAGTAAAAAAATCCGTAGAACTTCACAGATGTGGTGAAATGTGACTGTATGTATGTTTTATGACATTACCAGCCTCACAGTGAAACCTTTATTTTCATTTTTATCCTTTATTTCATTTATTTTTAATCAAAATAGGGCCCCAAAATGTTTTAAATTTTCAAACTTAAAGGTGAATTTGTATTTTAACTAAAAACTTAACCAAAAAAATTTCAATACTCTAATTATTGTATTACCATAATTATTAAATATTTCATGATTTCGAAAAACACATAGGTTCAAAAATCAATTTATCAGAAAAATAGAATACCCTATAATCCGAGTGCTTTCAAAAGGTGGACCTGTTTCCTTTAGTGACAAACTTATTTATTAACAATCGATGAAAATACAATGATTTTACATGATTTTCTTTTTTGAATTCAGACTTCATTATCAGCATAATTAGAATTTGATGGTAAAATTTCATGTAATTCCATTCAAAGTAGCGCATTTCTAAATGAAATTTTACAGATGAATATAAAAATTTATATTTGTTATTAATCATATTTATTTATATATAACTATATTTTTATTTGTGAACCCTTTATTTTTGCCCACTGAAAGGCCTGCATTCCTGTTAATTAGTCTGTTAAGGATTTCTTATCAGAAGTATGTTAAAACAGCATTCAGGTCTGTTGTAGTTCGTTACCAGAACCCATCAGCTATGCTTTACCCGTGGTACCCAAAACCCTATCAGAAATGCTATATGTATGGACAAGAAACTCAGTGCTGTGATATAAAACACCTTATTTGGCAGAACGGAAATACTTCTTATGAGTAACAGATATAATGTATTTTGTTTGTTGTTTTTTTTTAACTTATTTGAGTGGTCCATCGCATATTTTAGATCATAGGTCTATACATTTGTAATGATTAATTAAGAGAAACGACTGTAGTCAAACATGATTTTAATCACTTTGATTAAACCTAATTAGTCAACTTACTTTGTGAGCCTAGTTGTTTAGTGTTTCTTTGCTAGTAGTTTCATAATATAGTATTTTGCATGTATCACAATTCTCATTTAACAAATGTTTTAAAAAAACTTAGTTTATACATTTCTAAGTCTATTTTGGTACTTAAGAATATAAATTACATTAGGTCTTAACCAATTTACAGTTACAAATTTTATGATGCATGAAAAAGAAATTCAAGGTTTCAAGTTTAACTCAAAGGCTTAAGAAAGATAATTGTTTATCTTTTTCCATCTCAGATTCACAATGGCTCATATCTGGGCTTGTCCACCCAGTGAGGGAGATGATTATATATTTCACTGCCACCCAGCTGAGCAAAAAATTCCAAAACCAAAGAGGTTACAGGACTGGTATAAAAAGATGTTGGATAAAGGCATCATTGAGAGAATAGTCCTGGATTACAAGGTTAGAGCTTATAAATAAAGACTTGTTTTTTATCTTTTAAACATAAAGCTCTGTTGTGTTCAAAAAAATAACTAGCAAAAGTATGAAAGTACCTATATGCTATACTCTTTTGGAAAACCCACTTTTTTCAAGGGAATAACATAATTATTTTACCATACATGTGTGCAAAATCTGACTATCACTATTTTTTCTTTTTAACTTTGTTTGAAGTTATTTGAATTAATTAACCCTTTTGAGACAGGTCACAAGTGAAAGGCCATGTCATCTTGTTTGTTCACTAGAATTCAAAATAATTTCTTAATTTAAAAGTAAGTATTAAAAAATACAGATAAACATCGATTTTTTTTGTGTGTCACGTGGTATGTCAAATGCAGCACTGGCTCAAATTAAATGTTTGTGAAGTTAAAAACTAAGTCTAGTTTCACGTGAATTAGAAACTCAATTTACCGATGTTGACAAGCT